CTCTGAGTTGCAGGCCGCTTAGGAGTAGGTCAAATGACAAGTCCACCAGGCAATTCGCCACCAGGCAGTTCGCCATCAGGTAGCTCGCCACCAGGGAGCTCGCCACTAGGCAGTTCGCCACCAAGGAGCTCACCACCAAGCAGTTCGCCCCCAGGGAGCTCGCCACCAGACAGTTCGCCATCAAGTAGCTCTCCACCAGGGAGCTTGCCATCAGGCAGTTCGCCACTAGGGAGCTCACCACCAAGCAGTTTGTCACCAAGTAGCTCTCCACCAGGGAGCTCGCCACCAAGTAGTTCTCCACCAGGGAGTTCGCCACCAAGTAGCACATCACCAGGGAACGTCACCACTGGGTCAAATAACGAGGTACTTAGCTAAAAAAATTTATACATCACAAAAAAATGGTACGTGACAAAAAACGGTTACATCACTCACCATCCATCAGAGTACCGTTAATGTTCATTGATAGAAATTATCCAACTGTTCATCGTCCCTAACAGCGGCGGTGATCAGCATCTTCCCCTTTCCCTTCTCCTCTCCCCATCATCATTCCTCATTTTTTCTCAGTTTCTCTCCTTCTCTTCCTCACCTCCATCGAGCTGAAATGTCCATGGAAAGAACTATTCTTCGTCTTCAATTTTGAACTCGAACAAGTTGCAGCAGTAAAACTTCTCTCCCATTCTCACTCATCACCAACATAAATTAATCCAACCATTTTCTTCCCTCATTTTCTCCCTTCACTCCTTTACCGCTTCAGGCTTCTCCAATCATCCATCAGCTTCCCTGGAGCAGAATCTATTGTAGCAGCCGTCGTTCGACTTTCGTCCTTAACCAGCCTACGAAACTCGTACCAGCTTTTGTTGTTTGAACTTCCACTAATCTTCAAATCGCAATCCACAGAAACCATCGCTATTTGAAGAACAAGCAATCTGAGATCGAAAGTTGACTGAAATTCCCCTGTGTGTTTGACTGTCGGTTTTATGTTTTTGGATTAGAGAAAGATGAATTAAGTAATTACTTGCTGTAAAATCGTCCTCTAATGTTCTTGGGATGAACTTCCATTTTGCCTCTGAAAAATTCCCATATGTCCCCCCCCCCTCGTCGTTAATCGGTGCCGTTTCTAGTGTCAACCCGCTTTTCGACAAGATATAAGGTGATATTAACACATTTTCGACGTCTTGGTACGGATGGCGGGAATTAACACCAGAAGTTTGCAATATAATTGATTGCTTCAACAATGTAGGAATCCCGTTTGCGATTGCTACGTCCTCCTAAAAAATATCCAAACAAGACCAAGGATTAAAACACTAAAACCGTTGCAGAGAAAAAATACGAAAAAATAAAGAACCTTTGACTCACCATGGCGTGAAAACAAACTCCGTAATCGTGTGAAGCGACGAAAACGTGATCGGACCCACCGCTTCGATTCAAGAACAGCATTTCAGAAGACTCTGAGCTGCACCGCTGAAGCTAGAAGAAACCGTGTATGACTGATTGACAGGAACCCATTAACTGTAATGAAGTTACACGACATGTAAACCCTAATGAAGAAGAAACAGCTTCCCATGGATTGACTATCCGTACATTACTATCCATCAATACGATTTTGGGTCGAATATAAGAAAGGGTAAAATTACTTACATGGTTTTGTTTAATGCCAAATTACTTACATGGTTTTGAACGTTTCAAAAAGTTAATGATGAATTTAAGAGAAATGATAAAAAGTTATCATGAGTTTTGAACAATTTCTTCTTTTTTTTTTTTTTTAAATTCTATAGTAGAGACTTTATGGTCCAAATGCTTTTTGTAGGTGCTCATTCTTCTAACAACAACCAATAAAATGTGAACACGCCAGTGTTTGGAAGATAAAACAAAATATCACATCAACTGGTGTTTATTTTAAAGTAAACACTCTACACTAGAGTGTTCACATTTCAGGAAATCTTTTCTCCAATAGATCACCTCATATCTATGTACTTAATTGCTGTTAAGGCTCAGTTTGGAAGGAGTATATATGCTAATATATAGGGTAAAACCATATACTTTGTATTATTTTGTATATATTTGTATTTATATTCTTTTCAAACTGAATTTAGGCTCAGATTGAGAGTACAAATACAAATATATAGAATGCAAAATCATGTATTTTGTATTATTTTATATGTATTCCAACTATATAAATCTGTATTTGTACTCCTTCCAGCAACGGGAAGAGAATATTAAAAGATGACCTAGAGATCATAGAGCTTACAATCATAGAACTGGTTAGAGGCCTTGGAGTTCTTCCTTGGGAGCAGAATCTTTAGCGCTAAAAGTAAGTTGAGGTGATGGAGGTAGAAAGGAACTCATGAACTCAGAATCACAAGTGAGTGTAGGTGTGTAGAGAAAGTACATTCGAGAATGGGGTGAAATTAAGCCAAGCCAAACCCAACTTATGTATGTCTTGGTTCGGTTTGACTAAAACAGTGTTAACGCTTTGTATTGGTTTGGTACTGTAATAAACACTTTGTATTGGATTTATCTTGAAAATGAGAAAGTGGTTGATAAGCATTTATTTGGCAGTTATGCACCATTAAAAATGGTGTGTTTCCACCAATGGTTGGCTCTCATACAAATCAAGAAAATGTTTATTTAATAGTCTTATCAAATAGTATTTTTGAATAAACGTCTATGTGGCAATGAATTAACACCATTTTTCAAATAAACTACCAGAACCAAACACCATGTAAATATTTGATGAGCTCGAGTTCAGCTCAAAAGCTCAAAAATGAATATATTTTTATATATAGTATGTATATTTATATATTATAATATACAATATATTCTTATATTATATAGAATATAAAAATATATTTTTATAATATTTATTATAGAATTTATTTTTATATTCTATTATTTATGTATATATGTATGTATACATTAATCAAGCCAGGTTCATAAGCTTTCAAGCTAAACATTTTATTATTCAAACTTGAATTCGAATAATTAATTGAACTTGCCTTGAAACTCGAATTTGATTTGAACTTGAGCCCAAACTATTCGATTAGAGTTCAATTTAATTGCAACCTTGATTTGGGATGCATGCCTATTTATAGATGAGGAGCCCTTGATTATAGAAATAATGGCTATTCTCATTGACGTAGGCCCTTCGATCATAGTTGTCACATTAAGGGTCTGATTGTATATTCTCAAGTCTAACATTTGAAAGTGCAATAATTATGTACATTAAGAGGTATATTGGTATTGGTGAACTTTTTTTTTTTCTTTTGAACTCTAAATATAGAAAATGTTGTTTTAAATTCTGAAAATGATCAAATATCCATTTTGACCCCATATATGAAAGTTTTTGTTAGTCTTTTTGGGGGTATCACTGAAAAACAAAAAGTTGTATGCACTCTTTGCACTTTAAGAGATAAGAGATAAGAGGAAATGAACAATCATTTTTCTCTTAAAGTTAAAAGATTCTTATAAGAAATAAGAGTTCTGAGGAAACGAATAGACCCTTGAGTCTCTTATTGCTCAGTTGTTGCTTGGTCATCGGCCTATATCAATGTATTGGTGACTCGGCTTTATTGACTTGGCACGTCATTGTTGACTCCTCAATAAAGTTACTATTTTACCGTCCAACGTAGGCCACCTAGCAGCTTTTGACTAGCACAAGTATCAATGTCTTAGAAAAATTAAAAAGAAAATGAAAACCCATAAGAAAATTTAAGATATATAAAACATACATAAATGTTGGCTTTTAGTGTAAGCATTAACTTAGAGACCGTTGGCAAAACATGAATCAACTCAATACGGTATCAATCACTACTTGTGATCTTTTATATGGTAGTTGATCCCTATACCTAATATTTAATAAAAAATAGACCCTGATATTTTGAGTATCCAACTCTTTTATCTCTAAACAACAATCTCTTACATCTGTTAATATTTTAAAGAATTTCTATGTATTGAGTAGGTTAAATATGAAAATAAATAATGCAATAGACATAAGCAACATTATTAGTCTTATAAAAACAAAAAAAAAAGAGAAAAACTTGAAACACGAAAGGTACAATCACCTAAATTTTCACCCTAACAAATGGGTTCGAGCTAAAATTGGAGAAGTTTAGCTCAAACCCTTACGGATGTGGGATTTCAATTCATAATCAATACATGGGTTCTTCTGCCTAATAGATTAGATTATTTTAGCCAAATTCAATCTCACTGGATGATTATTGCAGGTGATAATTAAATACAGTGAATTTGGATGATGGAGAAACAATAAGATTTCCCCACTTTAGAATGATATTTCTGATAAAAAGAATCGTCCATTTGGTTATCTTATCTAGATTCTAGATAACGCATTATTGATAAAATGACCTACACCAAGTCACCAACTACCTATATTAAATAATAATTAAAGTTTCGCTAAGGAATTAATTATTAACCTAAGAAATTAGTGAACATAGAGACTGACCCGTGACCCGTGACCCGTGAGCTAACAACAATCATCCATGTCCTGAATCGTGTTGATGTAAGCCAGCCCCAAGATGACGTAGCTTGCAGAATGCAGCCACTCTAAATGAAATAATGTCGCTGCACCAGTGTGTGGCGTTGCTAGGTGCAACGCTACACAAACAAATACATGCAATATTGAGCCAATCCGCCAAAAGCTTTCACACCTCATTTTGGGTAGGCAATTGGATTGGACAAATAGTTTCCCTCACTCACGAGACTTTCTATGCATGATGTATCCACTCGTGCTCGTGGGTGGCCCCCTCCAGCGGTGGAAATTGACCCGACTCAAATTATGGGGAGTTTCTTGAGGTGGGGAATTGCAGAGTGGTAGGGGACCAAACTCATTACTCATGTGCTGTTGGCTTAATACTGTTCACTCCTGGAACCGAAGAAGGGAACTAAGTCTATAGTTTATTTCCTCTGTAGTGGAATACCTCGTTTGGGGGGGCCCATATATTGCAAAATGGGGAGTAAAATAATCTGGAGGGCAAAAATGAAGTAGGGCTGCTTCCATTGTTATTGTCTAAAGATAGAACATATGAAGATTCCTTTCTCTTTATATACATACTTCATCAACAACAACTAGTGCAGCAGCATCCATGGCCATTGCTACTTCTTCCTTCCTCTGTTTCCTCCTGTCATGTTCTCTTCTCTTGGCCCATGGAGGAGAGATAGCAGATAGCCATCATCATGTAATTGTGACCAATTCTCTCATTCCTGCAAAAACTTGCACTCAATCCCCCAAAGGTGAGTATCTTGTATAAGATTTGTAGTTTTTCTCTCTTGCTCTTTATGTGGAAATGTATCCACAGACCTTGGCCATCCTCTTCAAGTGTTTTTATTTTGTGCTGCTCTGGCTCTGGGGCAGCTCATTCAATTAGGCTGTACGTGTTTGGATTGGGCTTAATTTGGAGCAGAAGCCAAGACAGGATGTGCCAAGTAAAATGGGGAGAACCCAGCACTCCAGAAGCTCTACCACTTCTGCCCCACAATCCAAACACAGCCTTAATTAGTTCTGAGAAGTCATAGGACCTACCTGGACCAAATCAGATGATGATGACCTGAAGCCCCAATTCTCTGGGCTCTGGATAAACCAACATGCATACACACATCAAACAGGTTTCTAAATGAATAAATTATTGAGCCATGTGAAGAGCTGATGTGGCTAATTGCCAGTGAACCCCCTGGAACGGCCATAATTTCAGGTTAACAATTCCATGATTTCAGTTTCAGGTTCCAATCAGCTGAGGAAGTTACAAGTGGTTCACATAAATGGGCCTTGTTCACCATTAGGCCAGGGGAAGAAAACAAATCTTAATCTTGGCCAAATCCTCCTCCAAGATGAACTCCGAGTCCGCTCCATCCACTCCAGAATCTCCAACTCCAAACAGTCCCCCTTAGCAGATTCTAAGGCTAAAATCCCAGCCAAGTCTGGCCGCTCCCTTGGAACCGGAAACTTCGTCGTCAATGTCGGGCTCGGCACACCAAAGCGAGATCTCACGCTCATCTTCGACACCGGCAGCGACCTCACTTGGATTCAATGCAAGCCATGTGCCGTCAACTGCTACCAGCAAAACGAGCCAACCTTCGACCCTTCCCAGTCATCCACCTACTCCAACATCTCCTGTGGCTCGGCGGAGTGCACCCAAGTCGGGTTGGCCACCGGCAACTCCCCGAGATGCAGCTCTACTTGCATCTATGGTGTCCTATACGGAGACAACTCCTACTCCGTTGGATTCTACGGTCGAGAAACACTAACCTTGAGCGCTTCTGATGTGTTCCCCAACTTTGAATTCGGCTGTGGCCAAAACAATCGTGGGCTCTTCGGCAGTGCTGCCGGGTTGCTCGGCCTTGGACGGAACCAGATTTCTCTGGTGTCTCAGACTGCTACAAAGTTCGGGAAAAAGTTCTCTTACTGTCTCCCGTCGACAAGCAGCGGAACTGGGTTCTTGGCATTTGGGAACCAAGTGGGCACCTCCTCTTCCAGCGTGAAGTATACATCTCTATTGACAGATTCTCGGGGCAACTCCTTCTATTTCGTCCCACTGTTGGGCATAAGCGTTAAGGGACAGAGATTGGCAATCCCACCAACGGCTTTCACTTCCTCCGGAACCATCATAGATTCCGGCACCGTCATCACTCGCCTGCCTCCGGCGGCCTATGCGGCACTCCGGTCAGCGTTCCGGCAAGCAATGTCCAAGTACCCATCTACTTCATCGCTTTCAATCTTGGACACATGCTATGACTTGAGCGGATACAACACGGTGACGATACCTACGATCACGTTGCATTTTGGAGGCGGCACTGGCCTCGCCGTGGACTCGTCCGGGATTCTTGTTGTGGCAAGCTTGTCTCAGGTTTGCTTGGCCTTTGCTGGAAATAGCGATCCCAGCGATGTGGCCATCCTTGGGAATAAGCAACAACAGACGTTCGAGGTGGTTTATGATGTAACAGGAGGAAAGTTAGGATTTGGCGCTGGAGGATGCAGCTAATAAGTGAAGCTGAAGATTTGATTAATTAATCAAGTGAAAATAATATGAAAGAAGTGGCATGGAAGAGGAAGTAGAATAAATGCAAAGAAAGAAAACAGAAGAAAAGAAAAAAAAGAAGAAAGGAAGAAAAAGAAATGGGGAGATGGGTAAAGAATCTGGGGGAGAAAATAAAAGCCTAATAACCAGTTTGTAATCCATGAATTACAGGGAGATATCAAATCTCTTGCCAGAAGAAAAAGAAAGTGGGCAAATCCACAGAGGCCATGTTCGGCCACATAAACACTGAAACTGTAATGGATTTGAAAATTGGAAAGGAAAGTAAGAAATTAAGTAGGTATGTAGTGGTGCTTTGTTTCATTAGGATGAGTTTTTTTTTTTTTTTTGACAGAAAAGAGAAACTTGCATTACAATATAGGAGAATTACAATCAGTAAATAGGCAAGTTTATGAGCAGCCATATTCATATATCTACTAATACAATTAACAGACACTAAATTAAGAGAGTTCAACATCAGTATGCTTCATCCTCTTCATCTGGTTATAGCAACTATTTACAATATTACTTGAGTGGGTGAAAATAAATAAAGATATAATTTGCAATGATGCCGCCTGCTTCAGACCAAAAAAGAAGGCACAGCACTCAGCTTGATTGCTGTTTACTGCATCCACTCTCCGCCTGCCAGCACATATTGGGCGATTATCATTCGAATTAATTGTATAACCAATTCTTTCTAGTCTTGATGTAGACTGAAAGGAGCCATCAACAAAAAGATGATATTTTGCGGAAGCAATGATGTGAGAATGACAATAAGTTGCGGTAGAACTATTTTCAGGTGTAGATAAATACTTGTATATGCTTTCTTGGCCAACCAGCTATGGATTTAGAGCTGTCTGGTTGTAAGCTATGGCATTTCTGATATCCCAAATGAGATGGAATATAATGAGGAATTTTGCCAATAGAATTTCCTGCTCTGTTTTAGGGACTAGGGTCAATTTGGCTTATGGCCGGAATCAGAATCAAAATCTCTCCGAATTGGAATTTCTCATAGTCTGTTTGGTTCAGACAAGCAATTGAAATCAGTTGAAATATGACCATTCTCTCAAATGGAGGAATGACATTCTACTAAGAATGGGAATAGGATTCTGCCAACCAAATAATTGAAACTGGAATGGCCCATTCCAATTCCAGACACTTATTCCTGCAAACAAAATGGGCCAGTTCAGTTTTGATTTAACCCATTTTTCTACTATTTGAATTTAATAATTTATTGAGAATGTTTTTTGGGTTAATGCCAATTTGAGCAGTCAGTCAGACATCACAAGCATAGTGACTTGTAAAATACAAGTCTTCCCAAGATTCAATTGAGGCTCCATTTGGTTTGTGGGATGTCATGAGAAGGGATGGGAAAAAGGTGGAATAATAGATCCAAATTCTTGAGATGTAGAGTCCCACCATTTTTATGGGAAACAAGTGGAAACTTATTTGACAGAAAAAAAGCACCCTCCTTATAGTATTTTTAAGATTTAATATTGGATCCATGACCCATAAATAAATTATTAATTATTTAATAACATATTAATAAAATAGTTTAACTAAAACAATTAATAAATAAATAATTTAATAATTAATTATTTTTCAAAATAAAATATAAACTAATAAAAATTTAAAATATTAATTAATGTTAATAATTAAATAAATAATTAAGTATACATGTATATAGTTGGGCTAAGCTCGGATTGAGATAAGATCAAAGTCAGACTTGGGCTACTTAAAGGATAATGCTTGAACCCATCCTAAAAAATAAAAAGGTTCAAACTTTTAGGCCCAGATCCATCCTGAGGACCGAAAATGCAAGCCCAATCCAGACTAAGTTGATCTCGGCTTGGGTTGGCCTCATCTAAATTGCACTCCTAGAGAAAGATCCCAAACAGCCCAAATAGGCAAAGTCTTATCCCCAAGGGAGTGTTGTGATCGTGGCTGCAGTAGATGTGTCTAGGTTGCAATTGACAGTCCAGATTGTTTGCCGATGGGACTCTATCCACACTCTACCCACAATAAACTGCATCGGCACATCTCACCCATTATCACTTCACTTATAAGTTGACATACAAAATACACGATGGGCAGCTATAGTGTATTGTGAGTAGAGTGTGGTAGAATCTTGCCTATTCAAAATCTCTCTTTTGTGGGCCGGGCCCAAGTGATGACTTATATATATATATATATATATGAAGGGCTATACAACAGTGTAGTCCATCCCCCAACCCATAATCGAGACCGGATCTGCTCCTCACACAAGGCGCCTCACACCGATCTCACATGTACATTTTACTATGCATTGGGAATATTTTTCGTACTTATAAATTATTATTCATGGGAGATGTCTTTAATGCACGGTGGATGTGCCCGTGAGACGCCCATGTGTGAGGAGAAGATCCCGTTCCCCCATAACCACCCCCACCCAAGGTAAAGGTGGGATTCGATCCCAAGTCTTTGCTATGACCAGCAGGAGGTTATCAACCAGCTGATTAGAAATTCATCTGACCATCTAATAAGATTTAATACTGTGATCGTCCATCAAATATGGTAATACGGGAGTTCACATGATGTATGTGTTTGGTACCGTTTATGTTTATTGAATAAATGTTTGTACTTTATATGCTGGTAAAATCGAGAAATGCAATAATTGCAATCGTTTGTGACAACTGGGCGCCATTAGGCACGCGTCACTTCAGCGTAACAATGAATAAACGCTTGACCGTTTGTGGAAGCTTCAAAAAATAACTTCTACAAACGGTTGGCATGCACATAAACCAATGTTCACTTTTTACATTTTCGATGTATGCAGAAGAGCAAGAGAGAGAAAATGCTGAGATGGTGCCTATGTGGCACCATCAATAAACGTTTACTGAATAAATGTAAACGGTACCAAACATCACCGATATGTGTTTGGTTCCGTTTATGTTTATTGGATGGGGCGTTTATCAGAAAAACACTTATATGATAAATGCCCACTTTAAATGTTTTTTTTTTTGTTTGGTTTGGGTGTTTCAAGAAACGCCCCTTTACAACTCAACACAATAAACGTTTCCTCACTTTTCCTGTTTGGTAGCGCATTTCAAAAAACAGCCATATGAATGTTTTCAGTGTGGCACTTCACTTTGGTATATACGATCCATTAATCAATCCAATGGTCCATATTACATGTGCTTGTATTTAAAGGCCGATTTTCAGGATCAAACATAGAGAAAGATCAGCTAGGCAAAGAAACTACCCTGTTAAGCCGATCCGGGAAGCACCCAGGTTTAGCAGACCATTATACTGCCTAATACTCCATTCACCGAGCTACAACATAAGTAAAGAACAACCCTACAATGCCTTAGAAGCAAGCAGCACCATAGATTCCCCTGCTTATCATTCTTTAGGACCCTTCCCTCTGGAAGAGACTAGGGTCCATCATTTCCCAGTCAAGAAGCTGCTGTATTTCCTTGGATACTCATGCAGAAGTACCTAAGTTAGCTTTTGTTTTCTCACATTTGACTCTGCCACATATGTGCCCTATAACTAAGTTCTCTGTCTTCCAAGTCCTTAAATGCAGAAATTATAAATTCTTCACCTTTGAGAAATAAAAACACCCTTTTGCTGTCTTTAGAAGAATTTTCAAACCCAAGTAAAAACTGCTTCCAAGAAAATGTAGGGTAGCATACAAACGGCAGAAGCAGCGATGAACAGAGAACAAACGGCAAAAGAAAAGTGTTGTATGTGTTATCAGAACAAATGATCTGGATCATTTTTGTTTAACAACAGAACAAACGGCAAAAGAAATGTGCTATCAGATCTGAACTTTGTAGCATACAAATGGCAGTTTATCAAATGAAAGAGATTAACGGCGGACATACCAATCAATGGGCAAAAGAAGCAGCGATGGGAATGGATTAACGGCGTATGAAGAAGCTTGCCGACGGGTTACAAGCCTGCAAAAACAAAGAATAAAATGTCGCGATTTGTCAGAGGAAAACCACTTGCCGGCAGAAAGACAGGGGAATAAGGGGGTATCAACGGCGAACTTTTACCGGCGTCCAATGGCTAGCGTCAATGTCGTGTCTTCAACTGTGGTTTTTCTTCTGGGATCAAAAACCTTGTGTGCCAAGTCAAATTACACGTCATATCCACCTCATCGTGCGTTTCGTGAAATGGCCAGCCATTGCTTCCCCCAACGGCTCTTTTCACGAAAACCAATAAATAAACGTTTTTTAGTGTTTTTTCAATAAACAGTTTCACCAAACAACCTTTTCGAATCCAATAAACGTTTAATAATCCAAAAACTGAACTGGTGCTGAGGTAGTGGCGTTTATTGACTAAACGTAAACGGAATCAATACAAATCCACCACGTCACTTAATCATAACAGATTGATTATGATTAAGATCTGGGCAGCCCGAAGATCGTTTGATAGAYGGGCATCTTTTTGTGTGTTGTTTTTGGTCTTTTCGCGCGAGATTAAATAAAAGRCACAGGAAGCTTCATTTAGAGCTTTCCGAAATCAGCCCAAAATGGGCTTTGCATGCCTTTTCGGTGCTACGTCTTTTGGCAGCTAGTTATTCCATGTCCAAAGCGGGAGTAGACCGATTTTCGGTCTTCCCGACTTATAAACAACCAAAAGACCATCCAAAAAGACACGCCAAACGGTGCCTAAGATTTGAACACACGCCCAGTCTTTTTACAATTAATCGAATCGATGCATTCCTCTCCCCTATTCCACACCAACCACTGGCAACGGTTGCACCACCGGAACACACACTCTATACTAGAACTCTCTCTCTCTCATTTTTCTTATTTCCTCTTCTTCCCTCTTCCTCTGAATGGGCAATCCAGCACTCCAACCGTTTGCTCCAAATCGGCAACGGTTGGTAGAGAAGCTATTTTAGTATGTTATATAGGTGCTTAAATCTTATATCTTCTCCAAAGTGGCGTTATTCAGGGTAAAATGAAATGCTTTCTAGTAGAATAAACTTAGGGAGAATAAGCTATTTTATATTTAAAGTTCCTTAGTCCTTGTGATTCAATGTTTGAGAGTAGAGAATTCCTTGTCTTCAGTGCTAATGCATTGGAATGTAGATATCCTCCTTGCAATCCTATGGACTCGAGAACTCCAACTTTTCAATGCAAAGGATACTTATCTACAATCTCATTCTAATGATATTGTTGGCAAGAGTAGCCCAAGATAAGTGGTGAAAGCTAGGAAGAAGATTCATTATAACAGCCATAAGCAAGGCCCTTCAGATTTCTCTGATCAGTTTTAGCTGGGAAGAAGTTAAAGTTTACATTGGAACCAGAACCACTATTGAAATAAGTCTATTCCTCCTGTCTATTTGGTTCAAACCAGAATTGGAATAGACTAGAATCGATTTTCATTCCGAAAAGAGGAATGTGGTCGGTCTTATTTCTTTTAGTATTGTCACAGAAAAATATGTGCCTCAAATCCATTGGACATGCTAGCTGCACCAAAAACATTCCTCTCAAACGTTTGTAGTTTGAATTATCAAAACAAACACAGTTGTCCAAGTGGGTAGCATCACCCAATAAGCAATTTCAGCGCAAAATGTAAAGTTGGCAGGAACAATGATTATCAACAATGAACTGGTTTAACCTTCATGAAAAGTAATCCAAAGAAATAAAGAAAAATAACAGAAAAAACACATATCAGGTATAGGAAGCAGCAATGCATGCATTCCTATGCTCTTTGCTTGCATGTAATCCTCTCGCAAGCTATCTCCAATTAATATGCAAAGCTTTTCCCAATACAATATTTCCGCTCTTCTGTGGCACATTCTCATAGATTTTAGGGTCTGGCTTTTCCACTCCTTCAAGACCAAAGAACACATCAAAACTTAATTACGACCTTCTGCGGCAATATTTCCGGCCTTCTGTGGTGTTGTGTCCAATGCCTGATACGGCTTCCTTTGAGCAAGCAGTGGCTCGATTGGAATGCTGGGTTGCTGATTCGAAGGAAGAGGGAAGAAGATGAAACAAGAAAAATGAGAGAGAAAGAGAGAGTTCCGGTATGGGGTGTGTGTTCCGATGGCGCAACCGTCGCCGATGGTCAGTGTAGAACAGGGGAGAGAAGCGAGAGGGCAGACGAGAGAAAGAAAGTGGAGGGTGGAGAGGAGTGCATCGATTAATTAAAAAATACTGGGTAGGCGTTTAAATCTTAATAAAAATAAAGGTAAATTCTTAAATTATCATTATGGTTTAGCTAGTTTATTAAGTATATCCTTACTATTTTAAAATTGACTAACGCTAATTTACTATGGTTTAGCTAATTTACTATTAACATCCGTTAACTTTCCGTTATATATGATATCATGTGACTAATATATTTATCAAAAATTATAAAAATACCCTTCCCACCTCCATTCCTAAAAATATCACATCTATTTTTAAATTACCATCCCTAAAACCTTTCCGTCCACAGACGGTAAAGGTAGTGTGGTCTGAGTGTGAATTTTGCCGGAAACCAAAAGGCGAATGGAGATTCAATGAGGGTTTATGATAGTCTTTGATTGAGCTTTAACCAGAGAGAGAAAAGAGCGATTCAATGGAGGGAGGTTACGACCGCTGGTTCGCCCGCTCAAACACAACTGAGTAGAACATATCCATTGAAAACCGTTACTTTAAATCTCGATATTAAAAGGAGGATACGCAGAGATCATCACCATAAATCATCCACCACTTGAAGATGAAGAACACGAAGAAGAATAAACCAATAGGAGGACACCCACAACAACAATAACTGCAACTAACCAGATCAGAATTCAAGGGGTCAAAAAGCTTCAATTCAAGAATGCGGGAACTAATCATGGATCAACCCAGTACACCTGCTTTATAGGATACAGTATGCCACACAAGGWTTTTAAAATCGAATTGGACAACGAACTGGTCAGGGGTCCGGTTCCTGTGTTGAACAGTCTGACCGTTCAAACCGAATAGACGGCCTGTTCTGACAAAAAAAATAAAAAGCGGTCAAACCGTTGGATGGTTCAAACGGTTTGATTGCCCGAGTCAGCGGTTTGCTGATCAAATCAACAATTTTTGGTGAAATAATGGTTCTGAGGTAAAACGGAACCGATCACTTGACCGGTCCGACCGTCTGATCCGGTCCGGTTTTGAAAACCATAATGGTCAGAATAGTTCAATTCGATCAAATAAGGGGGTGTTCTCCAACATGAATTGTTTTTATTATGAGATGTAAAAACAAATCAAACCCATTTGGTTTGAAAAAAACTTGATTCTTAAAACCATAAACATATTCTTAGTTGTATTTAAAAAAAAAAAACTATAAACATGTTCTTGAATTTCTGGTTGAAGAACATGTTTTCATCTAGTTATTTATATCATGTTCATAAATCATATATTTGTACTACAAATTTGTTTTTTGTTTTAAAAAAACCATTATTTTGATGATTTCAAAACATACATGCATTATTTGTTGGAACAAAAACAAGTTGTTTTTCGTCTTTCAAAACAAAAAATACATTTTGAGAACCTTTTTTTTTCTTGCTGATATTACAATTTCAAGCAAATGAAAATAAAAACATTTGTATTGTAGAAACCCCCCTAAAAATATAAAAAAGAAAAAAATAAACAATTTCAAATTATTTTTTAAAATCAAATTGTTAGATGATTAACCTATAGAACAATAAATAATATGGTTTATTGATTATAAAACAATGAATCAACATTTCTAAGAATCAGATAAAACTGCTGGTTCCCAATTTTGATGGCCCAATCATCTGATCCTGTCAAATCATATAACACTTAGGGGTGCAACTTACAACTCGGGTGAACTCAGGTTGGCCTTTTGTCAATCCCAAAACCTGAAATAGTGTAAAATGCTAATTCGGGCCAACCCGAGTTGCATAGCACTATCTTAAATAACTTTCTAATTTACGTACAAAAATAATGACTCTTGCTTTTAGTTAGATTTTTAGAATCGAACCAGACAACAAACCGGTTAGGGTCTGGTTTTTGGGTTAAACGGTCTGATCGTTTGAACCTAGATAATCCATTCTGACAAAAAATAAAAAACGGTCAAACTGTTGAACGATTCGACCACCCCTCATGAATGCTGTATATTGTTACTATTTCAGAATAATTTGCTATCAATTTGCAAGCCCTATGTGCTCTGTTGTGGTCACTCAAGACCTATAATATATAGTTCAGCTTCTTTGTTTTCTTTTTTTTTTAGTCTATTTTTTCTTTTATCATGGCAGAACAAGATTCATGTAGATGTAGCCAACCCCATGTAGTACAACAGGGTTCTGTTTAAGGATGCAACTTGGTCTGATTGGGTTGAGAAATTGTTATATTTTGAATGTGTCCAATTCCAAACTTGAGAGAAGGATCTATTGGCCATGAGAGTATTTCTTCACTCCCACGGCAATCGATCCATTTCTATTATGTGAAAAATTATCAACCTTATTTTTAGTATGCAGATTAAAKTTTTACATATTTTGAGAGAAGGATCTATTGGCCTGATACGGGTATTGTTGAAGAGAATCTCACTATTTTTGAAGAAAGTTCTCATGTTCCTAGGAATTTCTCTACTACTTGGGTATCCTATTCGTCTTATTTCTTAAGAAAGAAGAGCTATGTAAGCTTGGGCTATGGGTAGGGCGGGCTATATCCTCCCCTATAAGGGCATCAACCCCCAAGACTTAGGTACGTGCGGTTACTTGCTCAATA